TCATTATGTAGGGATGGTTTGTTATGAAGAAGTAGTCCATCGAAGTCTTCACATCAAATTCAATCTCTTTATTCCAAACATACATTTTAATGGTTATAATTAGTGTTATTAATACTATTGTAATCATCAATAATATGGAAAATATATAGAAATCAGAACTTTTGATAAACGCTTTGAATTTCATTTCAAATCCAATTTAATGTCCAATAAATATATAACAAATATACAGAAAATGTATTTAAATCTGTTTCAGAAGTTTATGTTCAATATAATAAAGTGTAAATAAATAACCGACAATTTATATAAATATCAAATTATGAAACAATTAAAATATGCGCGAAATTTTGTATCAAATGATTGATAAAAAATCCAAAAACCATTTTTTAATCTAAATTGATGTATAAAATCGATTCTGAAGTTTAAATATAATATATATATTTAATTATACTATATCTTATGATTGAATGTTTACAACAGACAAACGCATAGTGTTTTATAAGTAACTCCTTTTCTCTTTAGACCCGAAGAATTTGTTTAACCAAAAGAAGACTATTATGTTATAAATTACTTAAGACATAATAAATTGCTAAAACTAATCATTTATTCAATAGTTTACAATATTTTGCTGCAAAATATAAACTGTTAGCAAACGTTTGCAAATAAATAATTGCTGAGCAACTGATTTGAATGTTTCCTAAATTTATGATCACATTTTGTTAATTAAATAAATTGTGTTAAACATATGGTTTTCATTCAATTGGAAAGCTCATCAAAAAACAAATTTACAAAACTTCCTAAAAATAGTAATTCAATAAATATACCGACAATTTATGGTAAAATAACTTTGATTTTGTTAAATCACTTTTATTTAATGAATCAAATTTGTTAAGTAATGCAAAAAAGGCAACACCGGTATAAATATGTGGCAATACTAGAATTTTATGCAATAATAGTTAGCAACACATAATTAGAGCTGACAATTGCCTTGAATCTAATTCAATTACCACTTTTAGACTCGTTATCATTTGATTTTTTATACCAAACGCTTCGAGACTTTTACAGAGAGAGTGTCTTCAATGATGCCATCAATTGAAACAACTCTCACACATAAACTCAGGTTATCCTTGAACTCAATGTACAGATCCTTTTAACAGATTTTTACTAATCTTATTATTAACACACATTGTTTCCACAAACATGTTATTTAGTGTAATTTATTTAACGGTAATATAATTTATATTTCTACACAAAACGTGAAAATGTCTGGCATTTGTAATTTGCTTCGAGTTAAACCGTTGAGAGCCTTCACCAGACATAATGAGTTCATTAAAACTTTGAAATATCATACAATTAGTGGAGTTTATGGCTATAAACCAAAACAAAACCAATTTGTTTGCGATAATATTGCCGTAAAAAGAAGATCTCAAAACAATGCAGACATTCATGAATTAGTGAACGCGTTTAGAAGTAGAGGTCATCTGTTAAGCCGTTTGGATCCGCTCTCATTGACTGAAGGCAAGAGTTTAGATGCCCTTAACATTGACATCAGTCGTTATGAGACAAGTCAATCGGTGATCGATCCCAAAGAGTTTGTCAATTTGGGACGAAATGAGTGCAGAATTGAAGAGATGGTGAACTTCTTGAAAGGAACCTATTGTGGAAACATAAGCATTGAGTTCATGCACTTGACTGATGCCAATGAACGGCTTTGGATCGCAAACAAGTGGGAAGATATCATAGCGAACACCACTTTCACTGAACAACACAAGAAGCGTTTGGCATCAGATCTGCTGAAGTCTGAACTTTTTGATCACTTTTTGACGAAAAAGTTCTCATCAGTAAAACGATACGGAGGAGAGGGCTCTGAAACTATGATCACTTTCTTTGAGCACATTTTTGAGGCCAGTTGTGAGAGCGGAGTATCGGATGTCATCGTAGGAATGCCTCACAGGGGAAGACTCAACCTATTGACCAATTCGTTGAATTACCCGCCGGTTATTCTCTTTCAGAAAATGATGGGAAAGCCTGAGTTCAACCTAAACGAGAGTAACGGAGCGACTGGTGATGTGCTCTCACATATGTTCACATCCATTGACAGGCAATTTGCAGACAAATCGGTTCACATAATACTACTGCCAAACCCCTCGCACTTGGAGGCCATTAGTCCGGTTGTGAGCGGCAAAGCCAGAGGCAAAGCCATGACCAAAAATGTCGGTCCCTATAGCGAGGCCAACAAAATATCACCCATTTTAGGCATTCAAGTGCACGGAGACGCCGCCTTCACTGGACAGGGCATCATAATGGAGACACTGGCTATGGCTAATGTACCTCATTATTCGGTCGACGGGTCCATACATTTAATAGTAAACAATCAAATCGGTTACACAACTCCCGGACAGACCAGTCACGGAAGATCTTCCATGTATAGCAGCGATGCACTCAAAGCCATTGACGGCCCGTGTATTCACGTGAACGGTGAGGACCCCGAGAGTGTGGTAAAGGCGGCACAGTTTGCCTTAGAGTATAGACAAACTTTTGGTAAAGATATAGCCGTGGATTTGGTTTGCTATCGCCAGTGGGGACACAACGAATTGGATGACCCGACTTATACCAACCCAATCATGTACTCAACCATTCATTCCCGTGATATGACAATACCTCAAAAATACTCACAACAAGTCCTGAGCAATGATGAGAAGCAGCTAATTGTCGACCAATACACAGCTTTTCTCAATCAACACTTTCAAGACATCAATCATTACAAACCCGTCAACACTAACTTTAAGGGAGTCTGGAGTCAAATAACACAGGCGTCCGATAAAGCCATCACTCGATGGGATACAAGTGTTGAACCGGACGTCTTGTATTATATTTGCGGCAAATCTATTAATATACCAAATGAATTCAATTTGCATCCAAACCTTAATAAAGTACTCAATGAAAGGCTAAATAAACTTAAAGAAGGTGTTAAAATCGATTGGGCGACGGCTGAAGCACTGGCTTTCGGTTCATTGCTTTATCAGGGATTCAATGTTAGGATCTCTGGACAAGACGTCGGAAGAGGTATTCTATTCATCAAATATAGCCACAAATAATTACAATTTCATTTCTAATCATATTTTAAGGCACATTCAGTCAAAGGCATGTTATGTTAGTCGACCAGAAGAACGGCGATACTTATATACCAATTAACAAATTAATTGATAATCAAAAGGGTTTTATCGAAGTTTGCAATTCTATACTCAGCGAAGAAGCAGTTCTTGTAATTCTTACACATATTCTTAAATTCATGTTATGCTAAATGTTTACAACATTTTAATTAAGGCCTACGAATGGGGTTTAAGTATTGATAATCCAAACAATTTGGTCATATGGGAGGCACAGTTCGGTGACTTCTTCAATGGCGCGCAAATTATCTTCGATACATTCGTGTCTTCGGGTGAGACTAAATGGGGTCTCTCTTCGGCACTCACTATACTCTTACCCCATGGCTATGAAGGCGCAGGTGTTGTACACAATAGCGATATCTGTTTCTGTGTTCACAATAACTAATATGAACTGAATTGAAGGTCCGGAACACTCTTCGTGTCGAATGGAGCGCTTCCTGCAAATGAGTGATTCCAAAGAGAGTGGCGTCGATAGCGATCACATAAACTGGTCCATCGCTAACCCGAGCACTCCCTCGCAGTACTTCCATTTGCTTCGGCGCCAAATGATTCGCGATTACCGAAAGCCGTTGATTGTCATCACACCGAAGATACTTCTTCGACACCCGGCGTGTGTTTCAGGCATTGAAGAGTTCACAAACTCGTCGTCTTTCAGCCCAGTATTAAGCGATCCGTTCGTTACAAATGATTCCGATATAAAGACAGTTGTGTTGTGTTCGGGAAAACATTTCTATACGTTAAGCAAAGAGAGGGAAGAGAAAAACGCCAAACATGTGGCCATAATTCGTTTGGAAGAGTTGTGTCCCTTTCCTGCCAATGAAATCTCAGCCCAACTCTCAAAATTTAAATCAGTAAAAGGTTTGCGAATATCCTTTCATTAATATAACAAAAATGTAGTTATTTTAACCACAATTGAAAATGTATGTAGAATTCATATGGAGTCAAGAAGAACACCAGAATATGGGCGCCTGGAGTTACGTTAGACCTCGCTTTCAAGATATTCTCAATTGTCGAGTTAGTAAACTATAAACAATTGAAATTTTTATTAAATTTTAACCATAATTTCGTTATATTAATCAAAGCTCCGATATGTGGGTAGACCCCCACTGTCCGCACCGGCCGTTGGCATTGGAGAACTGCACAAACAGGAAGCGGCAGATATACTATTGGATACGTTTAGAAGCAAATAAATCAAATTACAATAAAAGCAATTAAATAATTAAAACAATTCATTGACTAATTAATTTTATTACATGGTTTTTTGTATAGGATTAACAATTTTTTCTCAAACAATTTATGACATAAATTACAAAATGTTTTGTGATTATGTTTTGCTTATCTATTGAAAATGTACAACAATTTTAACTATAATTGTGATGTCAATCATAAAACTCTGTGGGAATGAGAGATATAGATGTTGTGTTGGAATGCAAATACAAAACTCATTCTTTAGACAATTAATTTCAACACATTTTTATAATTAAACGGTAAATGCAAAAGAGTTCACGATTTGTTGTATATTTGAAAAACAAATCTAAAACTAGAATTTAATTTTATCATAATTTATAATACATTTATAAGCCATTCAATAAAAAAACCGTAATTCAAATAATCGTTAAATTTGTTTGTTTGACAATTAATTGAGCAAAAAATGGGACGAAATATCGTCAATATTATTAGCATTGCATTTGAAATTATAATCCGATGGCAAACCATTTTGGGAGCGACTTTTACATCACAGAAGGACTCGCTTTCTCTTACATTATTAACAAATCAGTTAACTTTTCTTATTTCAATTAACTAACGATTTGTTGCCAATCATTGCAGATATTATTGCAAACAATTAAATGTATAAATATATATGAGTCATACAAATATTAATTCTCGTAATTTAAAATTGTATGTAAAAAAGTGCATCAATTTGTTGTGCAAATATTGTTAGTCTCCGATGACTTCTTCGGTAATTCAATTGGCAGCCAATGACCACCGGAAACATGCGATCAACTGATTTGGTTAATGGACTAATGTTTTTGATTTTAAGGGACAGATATTGTGTTTGAGAACATTATAATAATTATAATTAAATAAAAATAAATTTATATTAAATAAGAATACAATTAAAAAACCAAATGATTACTGAAAAAAAAAACTAAAATAGAAACCGAGAAAAATAAGTAAATAATAATACAAATGAAAACATGAATTTTGAATGAGTTATACTCTAACAAGAAATAAGCATTGAATGCTTTGAATGTTTTTTGGCTTCAAATACAGGGATCGGATTGTTGTTGCAATTAAACAACAAAAATGTGTTCTCGTTTGATGTGTTTTCAGCAAATGTTTGGATCGATTGAAAACTTAAATATCATTTTAAGTGATGTTTTGAAATGAATTAATTGTAGAAAAGTGTTAAAGAATTGGCACAAATGTAGGAGTGATTTAGTATTTAGTGTTAATGACATTTAAATTGGCTTTCGAAGTGATGGCCAATGAATATGAAAGAGTGTTAGACTCACAGCCCCTCACAGGTGTCAAAGCAATAGACTCTGTCGTCTGTGCCTTCCATAGGGGGCTAAAGTGAGGAGAGATAACAGGAGTGTCGGTAAGAGTGAGTTAAGTGTTTAGAATTAGAGTGAGAGGTGTGAGAGATGGCACCTGTGTTTGGGATCCGATTGCCGGGATCGCGGCTCAGGTGTACGCCTGAGATCGAGAATATCGATTCAGTGTCTTGTAATCGATGTATTTGTGGACCTAAGCTGTAGAAGTAGTAGTGTCTCATCGACTCACTGGCAGTCATCCGCGCCTTTGGCTCATACTGTAGTCATTAATAAAGAATATTACATTAGTTATCATAAAATATTAGTTATTTTTAAAAGGTTTTGACACAATTTTTTTAATCGTTTATTGCTTACAATTAATGATAAGATAAACATAACGTCAATAAATGATTTGAAAATTATATATTATTTTTAACTATTTTGTGATGTATCATAAAAATTGATGTCACCGTTCAATGGAAATGATAATCAAATAAAACACAAACTCATACATACCTTAAGAAATCGATTTAAGAGATCCATTCCCTCTGAATCAAGTCGTGGCACTCTATTGACTCTCTCGAGGAAGGACTCGGGCTCATAGTGTGGGAAATTGAATGATAGGAACTCTTCTTTTTTGGTAATCCCTTTCCATTTGCGTTCTGTAGGCGTGCCTAACGTCCGGAATATGAGGTGCAACTCGTCCTCAACGGTGGAACCGGGGAATAGCGGCCGACCGCTCGCCATCTCGAAGAATATACAGCCCACGCCCCACATGTCTATTGACGTGTTGTATTCGGTTGAGCCCAACAACACATCAGGCGGTCTATACCATAGAGTGACCACTTCGTGGGAAAAGGTCTTCGTTGGCACTATTATTGCATTAAGTAATTCATTAGATATTTTGTTTGTTAAAACCATAATAAGTAAACACAGACCTGATTTCGCACGAGCTAACCCAAAGTCTGCTAATTTGAGTTCTCCCCTCTCATTAATGAGCAAATTCTGTGGCTTTAAATCTCTATGAAGTATACGTCTTCTGTGACAGTAATTAAGTCCTCTCAACAGTTGAAACAAAAATATCTACATTTTATGCAAAAATATATATTTGTCAGACATTAACTCAAATACCGAATACATTAAATATTATGGTTATGTATTAATCAAAGAGAAAGATCGATACCTTAACGTTATTCATATTCATTAAATTACTGCAGTCATCCATATATTGCTTTAAATCCTTTTCCTTATCGCAACAAAAAACAAATTATATATAAATATTAAATTCGCAAAATAAAAAGTAACAAAAAATGTGCAAAACTTACTAAATATTCAAAAACTAGAGTCAGAGACTTCTCCGTGTGAACGATATCGTGAAGAGTCACTATATTGTTGTGTTTTAGGTCTCTTAGAAGTGATACTATAAATATAATAAAGCATTTGTATTAATTTTAATGCATTCAATCGTTTTTATTTTTAAACACAATTAACAGTGAGGAGAGGTCGGGGTAAACAGAGTTTACGCTTATTACAAATACTATTCTATAATTAAAAGTAACTTATATAACACAACAATAATAAACAATCAAATGAATGCAAACTTTTATTTAGATTTCAGTGAATTTAGTCTAAATCGCAAGTTATATATAATAATTGCAGTTTAAGTTATATAGTGTTTGATTGATTAGGTTTTTACATGTTGTGAGACATAGGAATAGAGCATAAAAATAAGGATAGTTTTAATATAAATGAATGTTTTGTAACACGAAATTGGGATTAAATTCATATAATAAAGTGTTTGTTCCAAATCCTATTTAATCCCTTAAACACTAGTTTTACCTAAACTTTCATTAACTAAAAAATATAATAAATGAATTTTATTGTCTTGTGCTTAATGAAGGAATACAAGGGACTTAAATGTTAATTAAAATGTAAATCAAATTAAAACTCATAAAAATAAAGCTATATTTTTCATCTAGAAATTTAATGTCTCATTAAATTCTATTATTTTAGAGGAAATTTTCATTTTTGTATATTCAACGGCGCTTTTATGTCTATTATTAACAATAAGACAAGTCTAGAATATAGACAATAAAATGATAACAAAAATCTCAAAATTTTGTCATATATTATAACCTAATAAAAAGCAGATAATAATGGATTGCGGTTCGGAGTGAAAGGGATGCATACCTTCTCTAATGGCAGTACAGGGCGCTCCTTCTTCGTGCTCGAGTCGGATCTCTTTAAGGGCAACCAAATTGTCGGTTAACCTACTTTTGCCTTTGAAAACAGTAGCGTATGTGCCCTGAAAAATGTATCAAAAACATAGGCTCAGTATTGATTTCGCATTAATGTTAGACTATTTTGTCATTTCATGTCATACTTCGCCTAATTTGTCTAATTTAGTGTACGTTTCCATTTTTCCAAAACCGATCTCATTCTGACAACAAAATCAAATTTGAGTTCACAGTCAAAGCAAACAATTCAAAAATACAATGACATACCAATGACTGTCTCCTCATCTGCCGAGTGAGGGGTCCATCGGGTGTTGGGCTTAACGATTGTTTTGCGAGAAAGCTTTCGGGCAATTGTAAGTCCGCCGGCAGTGAAAGTCTTTTGCTAATGTCCTGAGCATTGAGCCGTCGGGCGCGGTGTGTCCTCATCCGCACGTTTCCATTGCTGCCGACATTACTGTTACTGATATAATGACTTTTAGTAACCGGTGATATCACTTCATCCGATGCACCGGAAGCCTCTTCACTCTCTCCGTCGGAACCAATTCTTGGCATTTCGTGAACAACGCCTTCGAAAGTGGAGTAAAAAACAAAACAAAAACAAAAACTTTAAATACTTTGCGACCAATGAATGAAAGGGAAAGGGGATAAGGAAGGAGTGCTTCGATTCAAGACATTAATCAATATTTGAATGAAAATAAAAAAGTGATTTGTGAGCAAACAGTGCACTGGGATTGAGTGCAACATCCTTGCAATGGTAACCATAACGACTGGACATAAAGTTCATCTTCTCTTTGATCAATAATGCAATTCTCAACACAATTCTCTGTTATCACTGGCATTAAAAAGAGAGCATAACATACATAACATACGAACCCTGTATTCAATGACTGAATCACTGTATGTGTAATGTTTGGGAAGAAGAGGAATAGCGGAACAGATCGAAGAGATTTACGGAATGAAAAATCGCAGCAAATGTCTCATAAATGATAGTTATATTCAAAATAAATCTAAGCCAAGCGTACAGTAAAATATGATAAACTGACGGAACATTACAACAATCCCTCTAAAACCTATTGTAGGCAAACACAAGAATGCAATCTTTTCTACTTTTAGGGAACTTTAGAGCGACTTATCATTTGTATTGAAGACTTATTGTCAAAGATATCACAACAAATACACAACCATTTGAATATACATTCAGTGCTCAATTAATGGGAGCTTTGTTTGATATGTAGGAGCGATAAAACGGTCAGTTTGTCTCTTATGTAATATACAAATAAATGATAGGAATCGAGACATTACTGGTTAGGAAAGGCGTCAACGAATTGGTGCCAGAAGTGCTGTCACTCACTCACAAATGTCACGATCGTTAACAACACATCAAATAAGAGAATAATCGTTTGGAAAATCACTTTTTTGGATCAAATAAATATACAGCAAGTCTCACACAAGACTATAGTTTGTACGGATATATCAATTCAATTCACTGTCGCATCCATTCAACACAACTTCCCTATAATTCAATTCAGTACTGACTTCACTGTAATGTTAACTCACATATAAATATCATATCCTATTGAGAATTGAATATCTTATCGACAAAAATATTAAACAAATCTTTTTACAACTATTGCCGTTCTCTCTGTATTTTTATTCATAATTCATAGAAAAATATGGAACAATTATGACGTTATGTGAATTAAATTGTAAATGTAATTAAAAGTAGTCCTAAAAGTATTTTGCAATCATTATCGCATCCAAGTGTCATAAAAGCGTTTATTTGTGCAAAATATTCAATAATAAACTCTATGGTAAAAGAAATATTTATTCAGACTTTGGGCTAATATTAACAGCGAACTGAATCAACAAAATAAATCATGTCTTTATAGAAACAAAAGTGTATTTAATTATTAGTTTAAACACTTGACTCTTGGATTGGGAAACAAATTGCCAACAATTGGTATATGCGTTAAGCAGTGGTTAAGTGCTATTTATAGTGAACTCAAATTCACATATGAAAACAGTTTTCTGGTGACAGTGAAAAACTACTAATGAATAACAAATGTATTCATGAAACACATTAAGTCTGTGTGTGTGTGTGTGTGTGTGAGAGAGAGAGAGAGAGCGAGAGAGCGAGAGAAAGGTCTGTATATTGAATATGTAAAGCAAATCAATAGGAAAAAGAGTAATGAATAAAAAAGGGGTTTTAATTGGAAAATAATTGTTTGCATGCAATTAAATATAGAGATTAGTGTTGGGCGGGATTGGGTTGGGATAGCGGTTATATTGCGGCACTCACTGGGAGTGCACCAGAAATAAGTTTTAAACACAAATCTGTTATTTAAAAAAAAGTAACAAAAAGTAAAAGTTTTTTTAGGCGAAAAAGAAAATTGAAAGTCTCGTCTCAGCCTTGGCTTAAATATGTACTCAAGTTTTAAATTGATGTGCGTTTGGGCTCTTAGTCTGAATGAAACTACGGTTTGAAAATAGCACAGAAAGGGAGGGCAGGAGGAGAGGCACCGATGCACACACCAGGCAGACAACACACCACTTGCTCAACACAGTCAGGAGCTGTACCAACGACTACGGTATCAGCTGTCAATCCCATAGCAATGGATGAGTTTTGAAACAAATTTCTATTTCTATTCATAATATTAATAGACTTTTTTGTGTTGAGGATATGTATCACACGATTGGAGAACACAATGAGATGATGAGAAAGAGAGAAACATTTTCTTTCTCTACAATCAATTTGTAGTGAATAGTAATACTGCATGTGATGTGCGATCAATAATATGCGTGTATTGAGTGTGAAAATTGACACATAAAACATATTACAGAATATAAAACAAAAGCATTTATGAAATGAATGAATGGATGCAAAACTCACTCAAACTTTTGGAGTTCTTGAGGGATGAGTTCTTGCGTTTGGTGTGAGAGCTGTTTGATAGACCCAACGACGAGAACCAATTGCTTAAACTTAGTTTATGACTATTAAAATTGCCAAACGTTGAGCTCTTGTGCAGTAGTTTTATATCCATTTTCACTAAAAAATACGTAAAGAGAGAAAAAACGAGTCAAACATTAGATAACAGCATAATTAGTGTTTTAAAATTTCAAGTTTAAAATAGTTTAATAGCAATTTAATGTTTAATATATTCAATAGATTATAACATATATTGTAAATGAATTTTGAGCTCAATTTGTAGCCTCAGTTCATACTTAAGGGTTACGATCAAAATGTGTTAACAAAACCAAAGACAGACATCACATACACAACTGATTTATGTATTTCCTTATAAGACAATCAATTTGTGAATTAAGTTCACAACACTATTGAACGGGTTATTGAGTGAGTTTTTATAGCTTTACTTCTCACATAACACTATATTAATACACATTAACGGCTAATATATTCATCAAAACACAAATAAAATATAAATACCTTAAAGTTAATTATATTTTAATGTTATTAAAAATACATTAATAAAGTTAATAACAAAATTAACATCATTTAAATAATGAAATTACATGCACTTTGTTATACCATGAAATACATGTATATTTATAATAGAAATAGATGTAATTTAACATTAAATGTGACCAAAACTAGTGTAATTCATGCCTTAATCTCGTTTCTGTAGACAAACTAATGCTTAATAAACATTAAAATCTAAATGTTATCACATTTGAGATATAAAAGTAGATGAATAATGAATTGATTATACGATTAACACAATGAATGGTGTAATCAGTGTATGGTTTAGGGGTTTTGGGTTAGCGATGATTGTGTGGACACAAACATACCTGTGCTGTGAGTAGTGGTGGTAACACCTAATGGCACTTTTAATGTCATTCAAACAGACAACAGACCCTATCTATGAAGATATGGTGCAAGTGGTGAGAGTAGTGGTGGTAGTGATGGTCAGGCGCTGGCCATCGGATCCGATACAGAGGAGTGCTTGTCGTCGGCTGTTATACAACACATACAACACAATACATATTGAATGCTAGGATATTATCACCACTTATTTTGGTGTAGGCTTTTGGCTACCAGTCCTCTACCAGTCCTCCTCCTCCTCCCCAGTGCTCAACACTTATAACACTTCTCTCTCCACTCTCTTCACTACCATTTCAATCGCAAACCAATAGATTATTCGCTAATATCTATCGCTTTATTCACAACGATATCAATTGCGGACACATTTTGTGGTCAAACACACGGTTATTATAATGACTGCAGATATGAGAAGACAACACAATACAGTTGTAAACAATAATAACAATACAAATGTATCGCAAAAATGCAATAATGAATGAATGAAATGAGTGTTTGTGTTATTAGAGCCGTACTATCGGTTCACTCCTCTCACAGCCAAACACTGCAAACACTGAATCATTCAATGCTTTAAACAAATACTCTGTTCTCTCATATGAGTCACTCATTCATGTTATGCCTCTCTCTCTACATCTACTGCGCCAATCATTGTGGGGACCACTCATACATTGCAGTACTATTCGTATACAACGTTACGCACGACGACAGTCAGGTGACTAATACGGCTGACTCTGCCATAGAGTGTCGCATAAATGGGTGCTATAATAGCCGGGGAGACGATTGTAAGCGCAAAAGCGTAACGTCTTTAGTGTTTAGCTGAGAGGATGACAGAGAAAGGTCTTCAAGTTTTTTAATGCATATATTTCTCAATCAAATTGAATGTGAAATTTGGGGAAAATATATATTTCCTTAAAGTAATGATAAATTGATAAAATGACAAACGAGTTGTCTTCACACGTTTTGCATACTATTTCCCTTAAAATGCATTTCCTTTACACGAATTCAATTCAATGTTTGTCTATAATTAACATTTCATTTATGAATTCAAAACTAATCATTCATTTAAAAAATGAGTGGATTTTCCATTGATTTTGAATAAAATGCTAATTTAAAAAGCCTACGAAAGCACACAACTTGGCTAACAATCAAATACCTGATTGTCTACTATTATTTCAATACCCGTACACTATATGGCAATTACATAACTGTTTATATAACCCAAAATGATCTTGGTGATATTACGTAATAATATAGACGATAAGCAATTGTTAAATGATCCCTAAATTCAATTCTTATATGCAATAGTGTTTGAAATATCAAAACTATTGACCACTAGTTGTCTTAAATGGGATTAAAAAGTAATTTAATAGCATTTAACACGAGGTAAACGGATTAAATCAATTATATACATGTCATTACAACACATTGTATGGCATTACAGGCAATCAACACATGATTTGTCGAGAGAAATAGTGGTAAATGAAAGTCATTCAGTCATTCACTACAACACTATTATGTGTTTGAAAAGTGCAAAACTCATTGCATTGAAAGAAATGCATCGAAAAGTAAACAATAAAAAAAGTTTTTTGGAACCGAAAGTTGTTATGAAATGAAAAGCAATTGTTTGTAACTTCTATATAGAAATGGAGAGAATGTATGGATTGTATAGAAATGAGATAACGATCGCTCAGATCATAGCCACTGTCCTCATGGGTTGTGGCGCTAATCTCGTGTTTCTCGAGTCCATCATTAGGTATGTATTGAACAGTGATATCATGTGTTTGAATGAGAAGTGCATTGTGTGTGCTATTGATGTCACAACTCTTTGGCGAACACGAGTTGTTCCCAATTGTGTTGATAACAAACGGTAATTAAGACATGACGTGATTGTTGTTGTGTTTTGTGGGACAGGGAAGCGACAGGTGCTGGCAATTTGGGGCTAATTCCTAGTTGACAGGCCATTAATAGATATGGCCGCCGAGTGGATATTTGGATAGCCCTTGGTCAGTAGTGCCGAGATATGGTTACCAAAGTTTGCGGAAACAATTGGTTTTCGAGATAATCGGGATCAAAGTTGTGACTTTTCC